TCCATTGTTTTCCTTGTTTGAGCAGCCCAGCCCTCTCTCAGCCATCGTACTCCTTATTTTCCTTCCAGCCATCCTTGTGCTTTTCACGTTTCGTTGCAACTGACAGCTGCCTGCCAATAGTTGATTTTCCACTTGATTTTCCCCCTGGTTGCATTCAGTTTCCTTTATGAATTCAACTGGTCGAATGGCAGGAACTATTTTGCTTTGTTTTTAGTAAATTAAATTAAAAGGAGAAAGTAGAAAGTACAGAAAAAGGCAAATGCCACACTAATATGAGCCAATTGTAACATAAATAATGCACACATTGTAGTCCCAGATATTCGATATCTGACAGTTCGATCCTAGGCAGATACTTTTGTTTTTTTCCCACCAAGTGTAAATATTGATTTCGCGAATAGCACGTGCTCCACTTGAATGCTTGGATTTTCGCACAGGACCTCTCAGGAAAAGGCAGCAAATAGCAAATAGGCTGCAGGATGCGAAGTGATGGTGGGTTAAGCGACTCGTGAGCTCGTTTCACTCACTCTCTTTCAATATATGTATACGTATATATGTACATTTCTATATGTATAGCGACAAATAGCTGATTGTGTGTATGTATCCTGGCACACGTCCTTGTGCTAGTTTCCAAGTTGCCTGGTGCCTGCTGCCTGGTGCCTGGTGCCTTTTCGCTGATGTCTGGCTTTTTGGCTGCCTTGGAAATTGAAAGTCTTTCAGCGAGCCCCATCCGTTCGGATGTCGTTCTGGGTGCGGTGTCCTGGTCTGGCTCCTGAAATCATTTAATGTAATGTCAGGACACGTGCTCCTGCCATCAATTGAGCTTTTGTTGCCATTTATTTACCTAACCGTTGTTGTCTGCTATGTGCTAAGTGCTAATTGGGTTAGCTCTATTTTATCACCCAGTCCACCAGGCGTGTCCTGGTCGAGTCCTGGTCTACATACCGCTCTTAAATGGCCACTTGCACTCGCCTGCTGGCTGATTAATTTTTAAAATCACTTAATGTCTAATGCCGCTAATTATTTTAAAGTGTATTCAAGTGCTGGCTAAGCTGGCGGAAAAAAAATATAAAAGAAAATCCTCCTCGACACTTACCCTAAATCCGGGCCTGGCCTGGCCTGGCTTCTTTCAACTCTGGGGTGGCTAATTAAAGTTTTAGGTTCTTAGCAGGATCACCCGAAGAGGTTGTGCTAAATTTTGGCAACAGCTGGCCCGCTAAAGCTTGAAAGTTTTTCCATTTCTTTTAGGTAAACATATTTGGCTAATATGAAGATAATTAGATTTCCTAGAGCTTCTAGAGCTAATACACAATAAACACTATTAATTATTACCCACTACTCTCCTTTATTTGTAAATCAAAAGCACAAACATAATTTACGTGAATTAATGGCCAAACCAACATGTTAACATAAATATAATGATAAACACATCAACACGCCCAGATAACAATTTTGAGTATCATTAGGGACGAATGGCGAACCCTTTTAGGGATAGAGACACGATATCCATGGGAACATGAAATGCTGCCATCTTCCTTGCCAGACGTCAGCACAAACAGACATAAATTTAAATGGCCAAGGGCCTCGGTTGGCCAACTCCTGCACCACCAGGACCTCCCAAACAGTTCTGTCAAAACAAATGTTTGCCAGTAGGAGCCGGCCGAGGGCATACCAACTGCAATATTGAAAGTTGCAGCTGCTGGTTGCAACCACCAACTGTGACTGGTTGGTCTCCTTCTCCAACTGCTGCTACTGCTACTGCTTCTGGTGTCACATAATCAGGACAAGTATCCTGGGTGTGCGACATTTTGCCAGGTGGTGGCATGCGTGCATTATAATTATTATTTTCCATGCACTGAGAAAAGGGATATATCCAAAGAGTTTTTAGAATAATCCATTCTAGTTTAAACTCTCCAGAAGTAATGTAAAATAAAATATTAATTTTTTTTCTCTCTACCATAAAACACCATTGTCGGAGGATTATATTCATCTCGGCTGGCCTCAATGTGCAGGTGACATTACTGCGGAAGAAGAATGGCTGAGGTAGCGTAGCCTTGAGCTAAAGTCGAGCCTTTGGCCCACAATGATTTATGCAGGTGTTTAGTGTGAAAAATGTACATTAAATGCATACATTGAAGCGAAAGTGTTGTCGTGGCAGGCCGAGACTAGCAGCCGGAAGGAGTGTCAGGATTCGTGGTCGGCCCAGGAAGTGAAAGTGTGCTGGGTGACGACGCTGGCTCGTGTGTAGCCCCGACCGTTCTTTTATCCTGCGGCCCTATGCGGCATATTGGGGTCACTGGTCATTATCAAGATGTTGCAAAAAAAAATAAAAGAAATGCCATAAACCAAGTCCCTCAGCTCCTGGCAGCGTCTTGGCTCATTTGATATGCAGGGCAGATAAAGGCCAGCGCGCATTCAGCCTTTAGCTCCACTACTTGGCTCTATTTCAAAGCAGGATAAAGGCGATAGTTTAGTGGCAACACAAACTGTTGAGCAAGCCATAAAAGGAGCCATGTACTTGTATGCTTACTAAGAATATTTAGAAATTTAATTATATTTTTTAAAGAAGAAGTTCTTTCAAACTTTCAATAATGGCAGGAACAAGGATAAAATAATCTAGGACACGCATTCCCTCAACTACTGGCTCTTTCCAAATTAATTCCCAATTGATTTGTTTTTTGCTGGGTAAGGAAATTCCCTCCTTTATTTTCTGCGTTTACCCTCCTTTGCAAGGACGAGGCGTAGGAAGAGGTCCTTCCTGGTCGCTTTGAAGGCATTGAAAGGAGGCGCAATAATTCTTTTCCTTAGCTGGCGGCTTTATTCCTCCACCCCACATTTCACGCCTCGAGCCACGCCCACAGGCCTGAAGAAGCGCCTTTCAATTTCAGTTGAACATTTTTGCATTGCATACTTCTGGGGGCTGGGCCAGGAAAAGCCTGCAATTGTTTGCACTTTTTCGCACTGGGCTCCTGCGGCTACCCGTCTGCAATTTACGCGTCCCTGTTTGCTGTTTGGGCCTTTGTTGGAGGTGAAGAAAACGCAAACAAGGACACCAAGGAAGATGGAAAATGAAAAGAAATTTGCCTGGAAAACTCACCTTTGGGGCTCTCACCAGCAACTTTGCAGATTTTCACTTTTATTTCTTTAAAATCATGTATGCACATATATTACTCCGCTCACAGCTCACACTTTTTTTAAAGAAAAAAATTGCATAGACATTTGTTATTTTGGCCAAAGCTGCTTTTAGCTTGTTCTATTGGTATTTACTTCTTTGCAATCCTGCATGAATGCCTTTACATACGTAAATATGTATGTATGTGTGGGAGTGAATACATACCTTTGAGGAAAAGAAAGCAGCAGAGGAAAATTGCATTTTTATAACCTTACTACGTTTCCTTTCTGGGTTTCTTAAGTCCGCTTTATACCTGTTGTTTATTTATGGGCCCCTTTCCCAGTCTCTCTGTGTGTGGGTGTGTGATTTTGTACCTCGGTTCGCTTTGCCCTTCTAGCTTTGTCTTTCAGCTATCGGCTCTTACTTTTTGTCTTTTCAGCCACTTTTTTATGTGGAAAGAAAGCTCACTGTCCCCAACCCATACCAACCCACACCTGTCCTGCCCCATGTGGCTCAAACAGGAAAGGTGTGTTGGGGGTTGGCGGGGAAAAAGGTAGAATTTATAATGTGAATTCTGGTATTTAAAGACAAATTTTATGGCTTTTTAGTTGACAGTTGAGAGCCCACAGCATAATTCAGGTGTCTATGTAATGGCCCACAAAAGTAGGCAATGATATTTTTATGGCGCACAAGGAATCGTCGGTTCCTGTTGGCTTTCTTTCTTTATCTTTTATATATTATTCCTTTAAAGATTAAGCATATCATAGACAGAAACATTAACTAATTAGAATTTTTATTTTTTAATTTCAGGTAAATTGTCTGGATAATGGAAATGGAAGAAATGCTTAATACGATTGTTGACCAAAACCTCCATTTGTTTACGAGTTACTTTAATCAATTCCACAAACACAACCATTCATCATGCAATGTGTATACATGTATTTACAAAACGGAAATTATTTAATAATTACCCACACTACCCAGATCCCTGGGAATACCGCCCCATATTTTAAATCGATGTTCAGAGCAGCCACACTCGGATCAAATCATTCCCTTTTTCCTCTTCCCCTTCCCGTTTCCGATGGGATTTTCGAATGAAATGAATGCAAAAATAATTGATTTAATTTTCGTATTGGCTTCAAGCAAATCACTAAAACGGGTGAAGGTGGATTCATTGGCAGAGGAGGGCACAGTAATGCATGCAAATTTCCCTTAATCCATTGAAAAAATGAATAAAACACGCTTAACATGTTAATTGGAAAATATTTTCTAGTCATTTTCAATAGAAATGATAATTGAACTATACTAGATAGTTCTTTAAAAGTATTTAAAAGATTTTAATCAGTAATATTGGTCCATACATTGAATACTGCGATTAAAATGCTGAAAAAAAGAATTATTCTCCACCAGGGCCAACGAGTATTACTTCTTCCTTCCATATGGTTTCTTGGCTGACCTGATGGTTCAAAAGAATTGCCAGGAATACCCGGAAACTGAATGTGCCATATCTAATGACACATTAATGGTCTACTGCTATAGATTACTGGTATATTAGCACCCTTCCGTGTGCGTCTAATGGCCCCGAAAGCTAGCTTACTAGAAAGAAACCTAGTTTTCTGGGTGTCCTTTGTTATTAGATCCTCAGCAGAGATTGTTTACTGTATGTGGGCATCAGCTGAATTTCAACAACTAGGAAGTTGTCTGATGATGTCCTGCGATAGTCTCTAGTTACTAGAGAAGTATATATACTTGTAAAGGGAGTCCTTTTACCTAAAATATAAATAAACATACGTGTACTTTATGTGTAAAATTTCTAGTTCCAATTTGGAGACTGAAACAAATTCATGATCTAAGTGGGCTTTGAGGTTACTTGCAAGTTTCTTCCTTCAAATCCAGTTCATTTGCAAACGTTTTTTCTTTCAAATCGGAACGATGTCTGATCAACCAGAATGGGGAATAAAATTTTCAAAATTTTTCATAATTCCACAACGAGTGATTTTGGCCATATTTGGTTTCTTGGCCATTTTCAATGCCTACACAATGCGAGTGTGTCTATCGCAAGTCATCACCGTGCTGGTGGTGAAGAAGAACTACACAAAGGACGAAGCGGCGGCTGTGTGTCCCCCCGATCCGAATGACAAGAGTCCCTTGAGTCGGGAAGGCGGCTCCTACAAATGGTCCGAAGAGTTGCAGGGTTTCATCCTGGGTTCGTTTTACATTGGATACATCATTACCCATCTTCCTGGAGGCCTTCTCGCCGACAAGTTTGGAGGAAAGTGGACCCTGGGCATAGGCATCTTCCTCACGGCTCTGTTCACCTTGGCCACGCCCATGGCGATCAACTTTGGTGGATCCACCGCCCTGATAGTACTGCGGATATTGATGGGTCTCGGTGAAGGAACCACCTTTCCAGCCCTGAGCGTCCTGCTATCTGCCTGGGCGCCAGCTTCTGAGCGAGGGAAACTGGGAGCGCTGGTACTCGGTGGTGGCCAGGTGGGTAGCATCGCCGGCAACTTGATCTCCGGTCTAATCCTGGACAAGTACGACTGGCCATTGGTGTTCTACTTCTTCGCATCGGTGGCCATACTCTGGTTTATCCTGTTTTCGCTGCTGTGCTACAGCTACCCCGACAAGCACCCCTTCATCAAGCCCTCGGAACGGGAGTACCTCATGAACGAGATTCCTCACAAGCCAGACAAGCCGCCAACTCCCTTCAAATCCATCCTCGTCAGTGTGCCCATGTACGCCCTGATCAGCGCCCAGATCGGCCACGACTGGGGCTTCTACATCATGGTGACCGATTTGCCCAAGTACATGTCCGACGTGATGCGGTTTTCCATCAAGGCCAACGGCTTGTACTCGTCGCTGCCGTATGTGACCATGTGGATAGTGTCTGTTACCAGTGGGTTCATAGCCGACGCGATGATCACCCACAACTGCATGAACACGACCAACACCCGGAAACTGATGACTGCAGTCGCAGCTTTCGGTCCGGCTATCTTCATGATCGCAGCTTCGTATGCTGGCTGTAATCGTCTCGTGGTTGTGATCCTCTTCACCATCGCCATGGGACTGATGGGCACCTACTACGCCGGCATGAAGCTTACACCCCTGGATCTCAGTCCCAACTACGCCGGCACCCTGATGGCCATCACCAACGGCATCGGTGCCATCACCGGCGTCCTCTCGCCCTACTTGGTGGGCGTAATGACCCCGAATGCCAATATGATGGAATGGCGCATGGTGTTCTGGGTGGCCTTCATCATACTCTTCGTCACGGCAATTGTGTACGTCATCTGGGCGTCCGGTAATGTCCAGGCCTTCGACGACGGCACCAATACTTTCAAGAAGCAACCGAAGCCCGCCGAGCCGGCCAAATAAGAAAACAGTGGATATATAAAAATTCTCCGTTCAAGATTCTGGTTTTAACAAGTGATTTTGCTTCTATTGGTGTAAAATATGGCGATATGAATACCTTGATTTGATATTTGGCAATTGGCATCAAGTATGAAGACGTGTACATACCTTGGAATTCGATATATTTCGACGAAGTTACAAGTATGAATCACGTATGTTGTATGTACACGATCGTTGTCTAACTTCATCTTTTTTTCACAGATGTAACGAAAGACTTTGGTAGTCTCCTGTATAAAATTTCCAATATGTAGTATCCGAAGAGGAGAAAGATAGACACTTTCTCCATAAAAACTATTCGGATAGTATTTTTTGTATAGAAAATTATAAATATTATAAATATCAAGTATTATTATAAATATAAAGTATTATTTAAGCTTATTAAAAAGTTCTTTTGGGGTATTAAGATTGGATAGGATTATATATTCTATATTGGGGTATCAAGATTGGATAGGATTATGTTTTTAAAGAGTATATATATTTTTTGCAAAGTTCCAATCACTTAATAAAGTACTTTCATCATATGAGTAAGTATTTAAAGCCATTTGCCTGACTCGTTCCCCCAGTGGGGTTTCTCTTATTTATTTGTTTACCCGACTTCTGGGCTACATATGTAGGACCAGTCAGTCCCCAAGATGTCCCTAACAATTACATTTCCCTCAAAATTTATGTATGTTTTGCAACCTTTTCGTTTTTGTTGCCCTGCCCTCGTCGTCATCTATTGTTTTGAATGTGAGTGACTCAGTCACATGTGTGCGCCTGGTTGGTTGGTGTCGGCCGGGAGCAGGATGTGGAGTTTTTTTTTGGGGGGTAGAGGGGGATTTGACAACCGCAGGCGCAGGTCCTTGCGGTGGCCTAGCCGAAGGAGGGCTTCCATTTTCATCATCATAAAGTTTGCTGAAAGGAAATCGATATGGGCAACTTAATCATGAAATGAAGTCGCCGTCAAGTTGTCTTTCATTTTCAATTCCATTCTCTGCACCTCGCAGTGGTATCCTTCCTTAAGGAAGGACCCACTTCCACATCCACATCCACACCACAGCGCAGTCAACTACTACTTTTCAGCTTGGGCATTGTTTACCTATAGAGGGTGCGAAGGGCCAAAAAACTTTTCCCTAGGTTCAGTTCAGTTCAGTACGGTTGGGGTTCGGTGCGGTGCGGTTCATTCGCTTTGGTTCGCTTCGGTTTCGGTTCCGAGTTGACTGGTTGGTTCTGTTTTGTTTGTTTGTTTCCATGTCTGAGTTAGCTTACTTTTGTGAAAAACTTTTCCCTGCTATCCGCTATGGCTTATGCTTTCAATCACCGTGGCCCCCCTTCCTCTGGTATGTACCTCTTCCCTGTTGCTAACATTTTTGTTCATTTCCGTTTCGACTTCGTTTTTAGCTTCGTCAGGCTTTTATTCGTTTTAGCCCAGAAATGCAGGTCAGGTCAGGTCAGTACAGTGCAGTTTAATATTAATCTTTTCCTTCTTCACTACCTTTTTGGGGTCAATCTCCTGTTTAGTGCCCACGATGAACTTGCAATAAATGTTCTTCTTGGGTCTTTATTGATTTTAAATATCAGCGCGAAAACCTTTTTTATTTATCTAGGTACACGGATTATTTTGTATTTGCATTCCATTTAATTCCAAAATAAACAACTCTTACTTCCCATTGCTTTTATTTTGATTTCCCCCCTTTTTTTGTGACATTTTTCGATTCCCTTTAGTGTTTTTAGTTAAAACTAAAAATCAGAAAAACAGAAACTGTTTTTTTCGGGTGATGGCTTGTCACTGGATGTGGGCGGTTGTTAAGTTAAAATGTCAATAGGATCGTCGACGTTGTCGCTTCTGGATTTCATGCAGCATATCATCCACGCTACAATGACCCACATCGGGAGGGTGGACTCTTTTTTTCTTTAAAAAAAGAAGAGGACCTCAAATTATTCCATGCTGGCCTCACCTTTCCCCCGACTACTGGTCGGTAGATGACGTTGAGTCAGGTCCGCGAAAAAAATGTTTGACAGCAAATGGCCATGAGCCCGAGAAATATTTTATGTAGCTGCATACATTTTTCATGTTATTTAAAGTTCATTAAAAATATATGCCCGTCATAAGGATAAAAAGGAATTTTACAGTGAACATGAAATGGATGCTGCATTCGTACGGTTTACATTTTTTTAAGAGCCATAATTTTTTGTCACGTTTTTAACAAAGTGCTGGTGTTTCTATTTGTAACTTTAATTGTTGGACATCCAGCTCAGGGGCATGTCAACGAGAAATATGGCATATATATAGTTTTGAACCACAGGTGGCACACAGTTTGTGAATGGAAAACTTCCACATAAACTTTTCTAATCTTCATATGGTCAATATTTCCGGAATATTTTTTAATTCTCCATGTTAATTAGTTGGAAATGTGACGAGTTTTTACCTCTTTTGTCACAGTACATTCCAGTTATTTTTCAACAAAAATGCTCCTTTGTTTTCCCCCCCAGAGTTCCAGGACAAATAAAACTTCTGTGGATATGTGTCGTACGTTTGTATTTCATATTCATTCAGTTTTCAGTTTGTATTTGAAACTTTGTTTATACTTCGGTTGTTTATCCTTTCTGTTGAGGAATAAAGAATACAAAATGAGAAAAAAATTATTCCTATTTTTTTTGTGCAGCTCTCGATATTTGGTGTTTGGGGGAATGTTTGGCAAGTTTCATTGTGCTTTTAGGCGAATAAAGTATGTTCGCGCTTCAAGTCCCTTATTGTCCTTGGCCTGGGAAAATTCTTTAGTTGTGCGATTGAAAGCTATTTGGTTGGAATGACGGCGAGGCTTGAAATGCGTACGCTCTGCCATTCCGTTGCATGTCACATTGTTGCCCGATATGCTTGCAACATAGTTGCGCACAAGCATCTCCCTCTATTCTCCTACCATGATAAGTGTTGCAACGTGCAACTTTTAAATAGTTGCAAGTTTCTTGGCCCATGGCCCGTTTCAGGACAACTTTTTGTGTCATTTAAGCAACATATAAGAGCCAAAAGTAGAGGAAATCCTTTGTATATGATATTTTGCTAAATTTCCTTAAGCTTGACAGCTTTAATTGAAGGATTAATTTAATTAATAAAGTCAATCGACAAACCCTTTTGTTCTCTCTATCGATTGACGTCGCTTTCGGTCGTCCTTTCGATGGAGGTTGAGGTAATTCCCCCTTCTATAATGTTGCTAATTATGAATTGCATTTATAATGGCATGAATGATTGTTTATTACGGATTACCTGTCTGTCTGAAATATCATCTATACACATTCTCTAGCTCGACATTTCAGCAAACTTGACAATCATCCATAATTGTTTTCATATTTGAGTTTGTTTACCCATGTCTCGAGTATATTTGCCAGCACTCGTTGGGTTTAGTTGGGACCTGAAGTGGTTGCCGGGCCAGGTATGTGTGCTCTACTGTTGCGGTTCGGTAGCTCATTAAAATTTTGGTTTATCGACTCGACTACAGGTTGGAGGAGGCAAGGCATTGATGTCTATGAGCCTTAATGGTTACAGCCTCATCGCTGCTCAACAAGCTCATTATTCGGTGGTAAGACTTCTGAAGGGCCCGATGCATTGTTTGAAGCTTAAACAATGGTTTTAAGCAAAGATTAATAATGAAATGGTTAAGAGCATGTATTTACTTTCAAAATTGGAGTAAAAGTACCTTTTCGAACGCCTCTCTTTTTGGGTTAGTCCTCCCGTAACTGTCCAAAAATAACCAAATCGATAATTTAATTAAGCGGACGGGAACAAAAGTGATGGATGTGGGGGGCCAAGCTGTGCAAAATGTTAACTGGTGAAGCAATTAGTGAAAAAGTTAGGTTTCGGATGGGGCGACTCGGTTGCCAGGTCCCCAGTGGTTACATCCTGCGTCCGGCCAGATTGGATCACCGGAGCCATCCCGAATTACTGACACACCAGTTGGCATTGTCCTTTCGCCATTGTCTACGGAAATAGCGAAGCGGTAAAATCAAACTAATCAGTTGAATGATTGGCGTCGACTGCCGATGAACAATGGCCACGTTCCACGGCGACAGAGTCCTGCCATCCTGTTATCCTGCAAATGAAAATTGTCGTTTTTCTCCTCCACTCCTCTTTTTGATGCAACTTTCCAGCAAGTATATCCTTTTTTTTCTGCGTTGGCCTAACAAGATTTTCTTCTCTCTGTTCTATTCCCACATCGATCGGGGCTTAAATTACTTTATAGCTTGCTTCATTTAGTATATAATGGGGGACTTTGTTAATTTTTTTGTTTGCCACTTTGCCCCGTCCACTGGCCGTTTTTAATTTGGCGTAATTTGAACTTGCCTGGACATCAATTACACGGCTGTTCTACCCATTCCTGGGGAGAGTGGATTAGGTTTGTGCCTCGACTGCCGGATGGCTACTTCAAGCTAATTTGTTATGCAAAATTCCCTCTTAGCTGTGGCCTATTAATGTCAGCTTTTCTCCGCCGACGGCCGACGGGCGGGGTTTTGGGTCAAGTTTCACTCTCAGTGGGTCAAGAGTTTAGATTATGGCTTAGATTTGAAATGGCCTGTTTTTGTCTTCTGTGAACACCTTTTAAAGTGCTCGGCTTCCGCAAAAGCAACATCCATAAGCCCTACATTTAAGTTAAGATAATTGTTTTCCTTTGGAGCATACTAAATGGCCTTCCCTTTTTTTCCCTTTGGTCGAATTTCAATCTCTATTCACTTACCTAATGAGACGCTTTCAGGACTAAAGAGGCTGAAGGATAACTTTGAAAGTCTGCTACAGCCATGGCATCCACAACTCAACCGCAAACACACACACACTAACACACAGTGGGGTGCTAATGCCATTTTGACGTTGCTTTTGATTTTTACGCGCTCTTGTTGCGGAACGCCCAAATGTAGACTACACTTTTGTTGCTGTTCCACCGCAAAACAGGGCACGCCCATAATCCATAAGTTAAGCCCAACAGTTTGTTTGTGTGTGTGGCGGTCGCAGGCTGTCGGTTGGCCAGATCCTGTTCCACATATTCTGTTGGTTTTGTTCACCACCCACCCCCCCTCGGAAATATATACACAGCGAACCCAAATCACTCGCCTCCAGAAACTAAACTAAAGGGTCAAAGTTGCCTTT